CCACCCCTCGCCCCTTCTCCTTTCCCCTCTACTACCCCTTCTCCCCTCCCGACCCTTGGGCAAGGTCACGCCGTGGCGCGCTGGGCGTACGCTCTCGATTTGTTAACCTTTTCTCGCCCGACACTACATCACCGTCGCGTCGCCGGCGGGTAATCCACCTCCCACCCCTTCTCTTCCTCCTCCTTTCCTTTCCCACCCTTTCAGTAAACTCCATACCCCGCGCAGGAAAAGCTCTGCTTAGGGATCGTCAAGAAAGCATACGCCGCTACGAGCCTGCTAAGTGCAGATCGCCCTTGCGAGGTCTGACAGCGCCTGGTGGGTAGGCAACATCTTGCCTATGCTGCATATGTGTACGGCGGGGTGGCCTACCCTGTACCTTGCAGGCGCAGAGCTCCTCTAATTTGCGGAATGAATCTGACAAAAAGGACGTACGTACTCTCTGGACGATCCCCCTTACTTCCACTTCGTTTGGAATGCTGTATTTTGCGGAGAAGTATTAGGAGAGTTTGTCCTCCGTAGACTAGCGAAAGGGGAGGGTGATCTTTTTTTCCTGCGGCGTGTGTGGAGCGGCGAAATCAGAAATTAAAACTCTGCGGCAGCGCCAGAGCGGGCGGCTAGTAGCAGCGACTATAGTGCTGACCGGACCAGACGGGCGGCGCGGCGCGGCGCTCTCTCGGAGATCGCAACCGCAAGGAGCTTGTTCCAGCTCCATTCGGCACAAACCTCACGGCCGCGTGTGTCTATTGCTGCTGCTGCTGCCGCCGCTGCTGCTGCTGCTGCTGCTGATTGGTTGCGATCGCTCGGGTGGGAGGCAGGGAGAGGGGTCTGTTAAAGAGGAGGATCACGACCTCTGGGTAGGGAACGCGGAAGGGGGGCTACTCGGCCAGGAAGTGAAAATAAGAATGGGAGAAAGTAATGCGGGCATTGATTGTTTTCGGCGGTAAAACGTCGAAAGTGATAGGTAGCGGTCGTGTCCGAGCTGACGCGATGCGGTCTTTCCCTTTTTTTTACACCGCCTCGATGTACTGTGCATCCGACTGACCGGCGCCCCTTTGTGTTGTTCCCGCAGGTCGCAAGCTGTTTGGCGGCTACAAGATCACGCCCAGACCGTGCCAGGGCTCCAAGGCGGGGCTCAAGGAGGCCGTGACGGGCATCTGCATGTTCAACTACGAGTGCAGCCGGCGCAGCGGCGAGGTGGTGGGCACGTGCACCGACTCCTTCCTGTTCGGGGCGTGCTGCCGGCTGCCGCCCGGGGCCGTGTACGCCCCCGACGACGTGGACGAGCTGGTGGCCGAGCGGCCCGAGAACAACAAGCTGCCCGTCGCCCCGACGAGGCCGCCGCCGACGCCCGCGCCGCCGCCGGGCTCCCGCCCTGTCGCGTCGTCGGGGACCATCGCCGTGGACCCGCTCGACTCGGCCATGATCAACGACCTGTTCCTCAACGCGGCGCTGCACCGGCCGCCCGCCCAGGGCACGTACGCGTCGCCCGACACCGTGCTGCTGCACAAGAACGGCTCCGTGGTCACGGACGAGGGCGACAACCTGGAGGAGCTTCTGTTCAACAGGCCGCTCACCGCCACCAGCAAGTCCCCTCCGGACACGTCAGCCTCCGGGCTGGACTCCGGGCCCGCAACCGGGCTGGGCTCTGGACCCGCCCACCCCGAGCTCACCACGTTCAGCTACGTGACGGGGCCGGACGGGGCGGCCGCCACGGCCTCGTCGCCGTCCTCGGACCACCCGCACCCCACGACCAAGCTGGTGAGCCACTTCGCGTCCACGGGGCGGCCGTACCCGTCGGAGCCCACGTCCTGGGACCAGATCGTGCAGTCCAACTCGATCCAGGACGCGAAGGACGAAAAGGAAAAGGCGACAACGTCCAGCTCTTCTACCAAGCCGTACGTGGCCGCCTCGACCACGTTCTACACGCAGCCAGCCCCTCCGCGCATCACCAAGCCCACCTTCTACTCGTCCACCACGAAGTGGCACACGACGGGCGTGACGACGCAGAGGCTACCGTCCTTCCGGCCCAAGCCCAGCACACCCTCACCCCCCAAGCTGACGTCCAAGCGGCCCGTACCCACCCTCAGCGACCACTTCGTGCAGGTGCCGCTGGTGACGGCCAACTCTCAGAATGGCGTGACGTTACCCGACACCCCTGCAGACGACAACATCGAGGTGGCCACCAACGCGGCGTCCATCAGTCACATCCTGTCCATCCTCAACAACTCTTCGCCCACGCTCATCGACCAGGGCCCGGACCCCGTCGCCGAGCCCGAGGCGCACCCTGACCCCCACAACACGACCTCGGGCGTCTCGACGTGGGTGTCCGTGAACGGCGACAAGCCCAAGCCGCTCAGCCAGCAGTTCAACACGGACAGCACCGAGAGCCAAGACGACGACGACGACCTCACAACTCCCAGTAAGGAGTACCCCACCGAGACGACCAGCAATCTGGTCACCCTATCGACCTTCTACTCGTCAAAGCGGCCGGCTTCCACGCAGGGCTCAAGCTACTACACGAGCGTGCCAACCAGGCAGCCGCCCCCGCGACCCACCCCGCGGCCCACCACTAGGCCCAGCGTCAGACCCAGCGCCAGGCCCACCGTGCGGCCCATCACGGCCCGCCCGCCCACCAGCACCACGGTCAAGGTGCACGGCCCGGGCTTCGGCGTCAAGCCCTCCACGCCGCAGTACTACCCGAGCTCCAGCCCGGCGTCCTCGCACTACAGCGCCGAGCCGAGCACGGCGTACGAGACGACGGTGCTCTTCAACCCGGACGTGCAGACCAACGTGCAGGACGACGACTACTACCCCACCGTGAGCGTGACGCCGCCCCCTGCTGACTACGGCCACTACAGCCCGTATCCGTCGGCGTACCCGCCCACCCCTCCGCCACCCATCCACTCGCACTACGAGGCGCCGCTCACGGCCTCCCCCCCGCCGCCCGTGCCCTCCACCTCGCTGCGCCCGCCCAAGCCCTCGCCCATGCCGCCGCCCGCGCCCACCGTCATCGTGCTGGGCCCGTACGACCCCGTGACCAACCCCAGCAGCGGCGGCGGCTACCCCACGAGGAGGCCGGCGGTGCCCGTGTCCTCGACGACTGAGAGCTCCGCGCTGCCCAGCCCCAACCTGGTGTACACGCAGGTGCCGTCCAACCACGGCCAGGGCGGGACAGTCACCATCATCACCAAGCGCCCGCAGCGGCCCAGCTCGGTCACGGCCAGCACGACCACGACGGTCACCAAACGCACCCCCATCACCATCTCCACGTCGTCGTACACCACCCCGCAGCCCATCGTGTCCTCGGAGATTGTGCAGACCGTCTCGGCGCAGCTGGGCGCGGGGACGATCTCGCCCGGGCGGCCGCAGACGGACCACGAGCTCGTGGCCTTCCCGCCTGTCCGGGACCCCAACCTCAACGTGACCAGCTACCCGGGCCACACTACCATCAACGATGAGGACTACACCGAGTACCCGCCCGAGTACACCGAGTACACGACCCCGCACCTGGACGACACCAACCTGGACAACAAGGTGCACGGTTTTGTTGACAAGATTGTGCAGTCGCTGCAGGGCAACTTCGAGGAGCTGGAGAACGTGCTATTTAGCGGCGACAATAGCACCAGCAGCGCCAAGCCGGTCTTCTACACGACCACCACGCGCCGCCCAACCATCCTCTCTACCCTGGCAACCTCGCTCCGGCCCACCAGGACCACGACCAGGCGGCCGCCTACCCGGCCCAGCAAGCCGTCCACGGCCACCATCACCATCACGACGCGGAAGCCGCCGACCAAACGACCCACCACGCAGGCCACTACCAAACGGCCCACAACGAGGCCCAAACCCTCCACCGTGCCCACCAGGAGGCCCAAGCCCACCAAGAAGAAGCCCACCACGACGCCGCCGCCCGAGGAGGACGAAGACGAGGACGAGGACGATCAGTCGTCCACCAGCGGCTACGGCAGCAGCTCCACCGCGACGGCCGAGGACTGGGACACGCCCGACTACAGGAGCCGTAAGCACCGTGCGGAGTGACAGTGTGAGTGAGCGTGTACAGGTACTGATGTGAACTGCTGACTGTTGACAGAGTGCGGGGTGCGGCCCCACGTCAAGTCGGGCCGAGTGGTGGGCGGCAAGGGCGCGCGCTTCGGGGAGTGGCCGTGGCAGGTGCTCGTCCGCGAGTCCACGTGGCTCGGCCTCTTCACCAAGAACAAGTGCGGCGGCGTGCTCATCACCCAGAAATACGTCATCACGGCGGCTCATTGTCAGCCAGGGTGAGCGGTCGCGCATCTGCGCAGGGCCGGGAATGACTATATTCCACGTGTTCCTTTTCGTGAGTTGTGATCGAAAAAATGTTGTTGGCGTGCTGCGCCGCGCTCATCCGTGTCTTGTGTGCCCCCGACAGATTCCTCGCCTCTCTGGTCGCGGTGTTCGGCGAGTACGACATCTCGGGCGAGCTGGAGCCCAAGCGCTCTGTGTCCAAGAACGTGCGCCGGGTCATCGTGCACCGCCAGTACGACGCGGCCACCTTCGAGAACGACCTGGCGCTGCTCGAGCTCGAGTCGCCCGTCTCCTACGACACGCACATCGTGCCCATCTGCATGCCCCAGGACGGCGAGGACTTCACCGGCAGGATGGCGACGGTGACGGGCTGGGGTCGGCTCAAGTACGGTGAGTACTCGCCCATAACGTGACGCCGCGCACCCACTTCCTCTGAGTAGGTAAGGTGGCGGTTCGAGTCTCGCGACTAAACTGAGTGATGACCTCCTCCTCATCCTCCTCCTTGCAGGCGGGGGCGTCCCCAGCGTGCTCCAGGAGGTGCAGGTGCCCGTCATCGAGAACAGCGTCTGCCAGGAGATGTTCCAGACGTCGGGCCACGCCAAGAACATCATCGGCAGCTTCCTGTGCGCGGGCTACGCCAACGGCCAGCGGGACTCGTGCGAGGTATGGGCGCCCGCCACGCCCTGGCCCTGGCCACACAGTTGACTTTTCGATACCGTGTTGATCTCGTGACTCATGCGTGACGTCCTCTTCCCCTCCCTGCAGGGCGACAGCGGCGGGCCGCTGATGGTGGAGCGGGACGACGGCCACTGGGTGCTGGTGGGCACGGTGAGCCACGGCATCAAGTGCGCCGCGCCCTACCTGCCCGGCGTGTACATGCGCACCACGTTCTACAAGCCCTGGCTCAAGTCCATCACGGGCGTGTCATGAGCCCGCCCCTTGAGGAGGCGCGGTGACGCTCGCCTACCCCATCTTGCCATCGACTACAGACTGAACTAGGACGCCGCGCGGCCGCGCGCCCTGAAGCGCGGGTCGCGATATGGGAGGGTGATGAGGCTCGCGGTCGGAAACGAACAAAACTTGTTGGCCGGGAGGCTGCTCTCCCCGCCGCCGGACGACTGCGAGGTTGCAACCCTCTGGCAGGGGCTGCGCGCGGTCCCCCGACTCCGATCGGTTGACTCACGTGTGTGTGTGTGTCATGCGGTTGGATGGTTCCTGTTCCCTCGGGCCCCGCGTCGCAGCCCCGCTGTGCGTGTGTGTATGTGTGTGCGTGTGTGTGAGTGTGTGTGTGTAGCGGGTGTGATGGTGTTGCCATAAGGGGCTTCGCACAACTCCTTTCTCTCACGTTTTGTGTTTTCAAGCAACGAGTCCGACAGCTTTGCCTGCTGTCCATCTTCCTTTCGGTACAAATTGTCTCTGCGAGGGACTGCAGGTCAGACACTGCAGCTATCAGTTCCACTGGCAGCACTGGACCGTGCGTGAGTGACCGCTCGGTGAGGCGGCGCCCTGCTCTCGACGTCGAAAGCTGAACCCCTCGTTAAAAAAAATAAGAAAAGTGCTCAATTATTCGTGGAAATTATTTGTCATTGGTTTCAAACTAAATCTCTAGTCCATCCCCGCGCTTCCCCTTCGGCCGCAACAGGTCGTCGGGCGTGGCACGCCGTCCGAAAGTGCAAGTGCAGTGCAAGTGCAGTGTGTCTGTGATCCTAACCAGATTGGGAATGCTCTTTCATGTCAAGAAACTGTTTCCGGAGAGTTGCCACAGTTCCCGTGCCGCCGCCTCACCAGGCCCGGTTTGATTTAAGAGTAGTGATGTCTGTCCGGACAAAAAGTGTACCATTCTGCTCCTTATTTTTTGTGAAAGCTGTCCCCAAGCTGTGGAAATGTAGAAAGTGTTATTCATTTATTTATATGTACATTTGTTTTTCAATTATTTATGTTACTTACTTATTTATTTAATTATTTATGTATTTATCTTATATATCTTGTCAGCGGCACTTCATTCTGACATTTCCATGGCTTGAGGGCGACGCTACTGTATGTATGATAGTGTAGAGAAAAAGACACTAATGCAAAATGGGTTTGTGTATGAATGGAAACGTGTACAAAATTATGTACAAATTGTAGATTCAGTATCTTAAATTATTAACGTCACTTCCTTCTCTGTCTTCGAAACTTTTTACAAGTAATCCTTTTTAACATCTGTCTTCTTCCTTCGGTAATTCTTAGTGCATAACCAGATGCATCATCTGTGATACCCGCCGAGTCCTCGAATTATATTCATTGTCTTGTTAACTGTTTTCTTCAGAGAAGTGTAACGTGGATGTAACTCACGGCACGCGTGCCAGTCCACCTGGCGTCGACCGTGTGTAAGTATGCAGTGCATGCGGCGACGGTTTTCTTTTCGCCCGTTGGAGGAATGTGTTGCTGGCCCGTCCAATTTTTATGGCCATGACTCTGTTCTCGGCTGTCGTTGCCAACTTCGTCAGAGGCGGTACGCGGGGCGGTGTCCCCCCCTCCCTCCCCCTTCCCCTTTCCTCGCGGTTGCTACTGTCATGCACCAGTTCTGGCGACCTGGAAAGGGAAGGGGACGTCATATAACAAAGAGGTGGCGATAAAAGAGAGAGAGACAGGAGTGTTTGAGGAGAGGCCACCTTTTTGATCTGATCTGATCTGGCCAGCCAGCTCTTTGAGGAGCTAGTAATTCCCGTACTACACAGCTTAGCCTGCGGCTGCGGCGGCTGCCCTGCGCGCTCCCGACAGGCATACCTCCAGGTCACCCAGGAAGCGACTCAGGTAGTTCTATTTTGTTACGGGATCCTCCTGTGAGTATGGTATATTAAGTTTTTCTTCAACGTTCCTCGCTTATGGTTTCGAAATTTCTTCTATACGCCTCTCAAGTCTAACCACCAGTATCTTTACCGGATCGGATATATGTTCTGTAAGGAGCCTCTTCCGGCCTGCCTGTCCCTCTTTGCATGTCGAGCTCATCCCGCAGGAGGGGGAGCTGCACCGACAACCTGTTTCCCTTGCAAACCGCCGAGGAATGTGCTCTCCATCCGCTCCCGAGTTTTGGCACCTTTTCTTGTGAATGATCTTGACTCATCGAAGGTGAAAGCGGCTCTCCTTCTTCTGCTTTGCGCGCGGCGCGGCTCGCTGCGGCCTTCTTCCCTGTGATAACTCCGGCGAATGAGACTAATGAAACACGCCGATGGGTCCGGGCCCCCTGGTCCTCCGCCATCCTAACCATCCCAAGCACCACGAAACTGACGCGATACGAAGTCATATCGACGCCTCAGTTCAAATTTCGTACTGAAATTTCATCATAATTTTTGATGTTCTGCCTTTTCGTCGGTGCCTCTGGGGCGTGGCTCATGCATCCTCCTGGTAGTTAGAAGAGGTCTCCATGGGCGCGGACACAAACTTTCTTCCCTTCCTCTGTCGCGCGACTCGCTCCTCGGCCGCGTGCGCGTGCCGTCACGCTGGCCGCGTCAAGGGGCTCCCCGACGTGGCCGGGCCAACATCACCATCATGCAGGTCATCATCGCTCATCTTTCGTCGCCATCATCATCTTCTTCTTCTTCTCCTCCGCGTCCAACGCCGCCGCCGCCATCACCGTCGACACCCTGCTCGAGTTCGTTAGTGAAGCTGGGTAACAGGGCCAGTCGCTTGTTAGTCAGTGTGTGTGGTGATCCACCAGCAGGTGTCGGCTCAGGTGCCCCTGCGTGGTGGTTGGTGGGCGAGTCCCCGTCCCCGCGGGCCAGCAGTCAACCAGTGACCCCGCGCCGCCGCCCCCGCATCGGGCCCACTACGTACTCGAGTTGCAGGCGCCCAAGACCTAGGCTATGACCCTGGCATTGGGGGG